GTGCCAGTGAGGTCGCAGGCCGAGCCCCGCAGCCGTGCCAGTGAGGTCGCAGGCCGAGCCTCGCAGCCGTGCCAGTGAGGTCGCAGGCCGAGCCTCGCAGCCGTGCCAGTGAGGTCGCAGGCCGAGCCTCGCAGCCGTGCCAGTGAGGTCGCAGCCCGAGCCTCGCAGCCTGCCTTTGCCACACTAATCTCATTTCTGCTTTTTGCTAAAACAGCTTGAAGCAAAATGGAAACAAACCTCGAAAAGGACAAATGCACGCCCAGAATTCATCTTTTATGCAGAAACAAGCTTAGTACCCCACCCCACCCATTGATGGGGGGGGGGGGGGTTAATAAAACAGCAAATCAATAAAGTCCCTTGCTAATAGCTTCCGGAGTTTTTGTTTCTTTTGTACATGTAAATTAATCAATATAGCCATGAAGACTGCCTTCTTAGCAGGGTCATATTGAGAGTGTGCTCCAGTACACCCGAATCACTAAACCAGTAAAATAAAATCCATGAGGATGAAGACACTGTCAATGGCATAGCATGGCAGGGCAGGACTGCGCCAGGGGTTAGGCAACACAGGGGTCGGACCGTGCCAGGGCAGGTCGGTGCCAGGGTAAGACAGCCCCCTCCCCGAAAGGCAATCACAGAGGTGCCTACATGAAGAGCGACAGACACCGCTGTATACTTGTGTATGGCCGGCACGACCTTAAAGTTCCATTTGATTTGACTTGACTTGAATAATATCTGTGCCAGTCCTTAGGATAATGTTCTGGCCTGCATAGGACCCTCAGATCCATGCCCATGTCAGTGTTTCTGTTTGGGGGGTGTGGGAGAGGTGAGCCTGCACTAGGCAGGAGCTGCGGTGGTGGAAGGCCGCAAGCTGCCGCAGCATCAGGAAACGGGTTACCTGGCTCCGCCCACGGCGCCGGTAGTTCCTGCGGACAATGTTCTTGTAGTTCTCATTCTTCTTCGTCAGGTAGTAAAAGAGAACACACTCTGCCACCGTCTGCAAAGAGCAGGAAGGATGTCAGGTGCCAGGAGGATCTCAAACACAGACCTGCAGAGAAACCTTCCCAACAATCAGCAGCACACATGGGACCAAACACACCTGGAATGAAAACAAGCACATTAAGGACGACAGTGATGGAGCAATAGGTTCAAGTTTTTGAGGGAGAGATTCTTATTTCACCATTAGAGCTAAAAAGTGATTGTTTTAGGTATTAGGTTACTGTAATAAAGCTGGCCACATTTGGTAGTGTTGCACCATGGGACTGATGGAGCAGTCATTAATATCGTTGTGTACCAGACCATACCGCAATAAAGATTTCGCTGCCTCATTTTGGTACCACTTAAATACCAGAGCTGTTGACTGAAATATTTACCATCTGGTGCTCTGGCAACAGAAGCATCACTGCACCTCATGTGCCATCGCTAGTTAATGTTACACCTGCTCTATATAACCCAGTTACATTTATTTGCTATAGCCTAAAATTATCCCATGGTAAAACAAACATCCTAACCATCCATCCATCCATCAGCTGAGGGCCTGGGTGCTGAGCAGCTTCAGCTGTCACAGACCTACAGACCACATGGAGAGCAGGTACCTTTCTCTCAAGGAAGGAGGCGATGAGACCAAAGTTCTTCGGGTGCTGAATAAACCTGTATTTTGGCAGAAACAAGGAGGAGATCAGAGCAGTGAGAAGAAGGAAAGGCCCTTTCGCTATGCTGGCTTTCAAATGCAGTACAAAGTCTTGTTCCTTTGGTGCCTCCAACAAGCAGACATCATGTCCTCTGAAGGCCTATTTAGTCTTTTGTAGGATAACAGATGAACGTGCAGGTAAAACCAACTGCATGACATTTTAATACATAAAAGAGAGAGAAGGAATGGTGTAACACCAACTGTAAGACCTCCTGTACTTTAACGGCAAGACTGATATTTGAGTTGTACTAGAGTCCGTCTCCCTGCCCTGTAAAGGACAAGATGTGCTTGTTACATCTGGATGCCTGCTCTGAGTATAGATATCTGATTAAAGCTACACCTGTAAATTTATCATCAGAGAAGCATTTCACTAACTCTGTTAACCCAGAGAAGAATCCACCTTAAACCACAAAATGTTCAGGGGACCTCACCTGGCAATAGCTATCGTCAAGTACCCGCCCCCCAGCTGGGAGTGGGGATGTCATAGCTGTGTACACGCGCCTTTACAGGCCCTTGCTGAAGGCTCACATGGGTCAGTCTGTCCTTTTTACACTTCCCATATTTTCACAAAGACTAATCTGATCAGCTCCATTTCACCAGGCCTGCAGGAACTCAGTAGTGAACTTTTGGGATTCGTTGCAGGTCTCAAACAGGGATTTTTAAAGACTTACCTTATTGTCAGCCAACTAACATGTTTGATATTCTGGAATGACATTACCACATTCACATAGACCTGCTGGTGGGTTTGTGAAACAAATGTAAACTAAAAATTGAGAAGAGCACTGTTTCCTATGGATGTGTGTACATCACAGTTAAAACTGCACATGCAGTGTGATTCACCGTGTTTGTGGCAGATTAAACATGTTTGCCGCAGACTGCCCTGCCCCCCAACTTAATCAGAACAGCTGCTAGTGCAACCCTCCCCAAAAGAGAGGAGGGAAGCGCTCACACTGGTGCACACATCCTCCATAGCTCCTCAAACGCTGATGAGCCAACAGGGGGCATTACAGCGAAGGGACAGCACATGTGAAATTGGAAATTGGTTTCATTAAAACAAAATCAGCTACAATATATGGATAAAAGTATTAGGATACCTGGCCATTACACCTACAGGAAGTTTTATGACATCCCATTCTAAACCCATAGGTATCAAAATTGAGTTGGTCCCTCCTTTGCAACTATAACAAGCTGCCATTCTTCTAGGAAAGCTTTCCACAATATTTTGGAGTGTGTGTGTGGGAATTTTTGCTCATTCATCCAGAAAAGCATTTGTGAGGTCAGGCACTGATGTTGGACATGAAGGCCTGGCTCATAATCTCTGCTCTAGTTCACCCCTAAGGTGATTGATGGGGTTGAGGTCAGGGCTCTATGCGTGCCAGTCAATTTCATCCACACCAACCCATCCAACCATGTCTTTATGGACCTTACTTTGTGCACTGTAGGGATGGCACGGTTCATGAAAAAAAACCGAACCGTTCGGTTCGCTTGTCTCGGTTTCAGCCAACCGATAGCACAACATCTGAACACTGTTGTGCACCTTTGTTGTGTGACTTTATTTAATGTGCGGTTAGGCACTTTGTTAAAGAAAATTAAG